GCAGCAGAGAGGATGTGAGGCAGGGGACAGAAACTGCCCTGGCCCTCCACCTGCCGGGTCAGCAGTGAGATCAGAAATGACTCTCCAGACTCGAGACGCAGCGGAACTTTCCAAAATAGACTGAGAATGGGGAGGGAGCATGCTAGGCAGAGGGACTTGCAGAGGCAGAGGCCAAGAGGCCTGGAAGAGCCTGGGGTAAGATGGGATTCCTGGAAAGCTGGCAGATGCAGGGCAGTAGTAATAGAGGGCACAGGGCACCCCCTTGTGGACAGTCTTGGCATGACGAGCCAATCAGGAAGTAAGGGACATTTTCTTCAGTCTTGGGTCAGAGGGACAAACACGTTTTCTTTTCTTTTCTTTTTTAAAATTATTTACTTATTTATTCATTCGTTTATTTTATGTTGGCCACAGAGAGACACAGAGAGAGAGAGAGAGGGAAAGTGAGAAAGCAAACCACCAGGTCCAGGACTCGAACCGTGGTTAGCCATGTGAGAGTGCCCAGTACCATAACCACCATGTTATCTGCTGGTCCCAGGAACATGTTTTCTGACAGTAAAGTTTGTAAAACCACCAATGAGTTATGGACAGAGAGATGGAAGTTAGGGCATAAATGTTGGTAGGAAAAGCAAAAACAAAAAAAAAGAAAGAAAGAAAAGAAAAGAAAAAAAAGAAAAAGAAAATCAGAAGAAAGCAAAGACTTCCTGGTGACTCAGCTAGCTTGTGTGATCAGTCACTATATTTGCTGACCCTCCTCTTGAGAAGATTAGATCTACTCACCCAATCAGGAACGTGGGAATTGGGTTCATGCTTTGACCAATGAAATGTACAAGAGAGAGCCTGTGTCACTATTTTTAGCAGAAACTTTTGCAGCCAGCAAGTGGCTGGACATGTTCCTTTCTCTCTGACACAGGATTATCGATGTTCCCGATGCAGACTAATTAGCCTGCTGTGCACATGTGTGCTCCCCAGAGCCTGCCTGGGCTGGGTGTTGTTGGGGAGCAGGTGTTTCAGTGAGGGAAGGCCACTGTCAGGGCCTGGGCCACTGTAGGACCTCCTCACTGGCCTCCCATGGCCACTGGTGGCCCTTTGTCCATTGCCCACTATCAGAAACTGGCCACTCCATGGGAACAGATAGCTCTCTGTCTTATCACCAGACCCCTGTGACTGGCAGGCACCAGGTGCTCAGTGAGCTTTTACCTTCTGAAGGAACACAACCGCCCCTGGATCTAGAGACGGGATGCCTCTACCACCCTCAAGGCTCCCCCTGCCTCCCCATAGTGAAGAACTCCTCCAAAAGGATAAATTGCTTCTGCCTCCATCCCATGGTCTCTGCCTGGTCTGGAGTGTATACACCGGATCACACCATGCACACTTGGGAGTGGGGCAGTTCATCCTCAAGGAAGCAGAGGCTGAGACAACAGGGGACTGCAGCAGGCTTATTAGGTAACATGCAGTGACAAAAGGGAGAGGAGGCAGGGAGAGGAGCGAACAGGGAAAACTCCAGACCGGACGGCAGATCCAACACCTTGTTTCGTTTTATAGGAACCACAGCTGCCGACCACCTCTGAGAGTCTTCTTGACGTGTCAAAATGGTTGTCCTGTAAATCGAAGAGTTCTGCTTATTTGATTGGATCCCATTATCTTCTGTAACATCCCGTGGCCCCTGACAAATTTCAAGCACGTGCCTGCTTCTGCCTATTTATACATAATGCGAACAAACCTGCCTTCCGACCGCGGAGCCAGATCTGCAAATTCAGTTGTGTACACTTTCTCATAGCTATTCTTTCTTTCTTTATTCGATAGACGCTGAATTTTAATACACCAGAATCTCACAAATGGAAATTGCAGCTCTCATGGCCCATGCTATACATAACCTCAGTTTAATTTCACGTACTTTAGTGAACATTTTTGATGACCAGGTAGAGATATTTTCATTCAAACTGTGAGAAGGGTGATTGCCCACCATGTTCCAGCCGTTGTGGGAGACACTTTCTCTATGTGCTTAGTCCCCTCTTCCTGACAGTGTCCTCAGAAGCCAACAGTATCCACATTTCACAGGGAGCAAAGCTGAGGCTGAGTAGGCCCCATAAAGAGCCGGTATGGGAGACTGGGAGGACTCTGGCACACAGCCCGTGGGAAGCTGAGACTCTGAGGTAGTAGGTGGAGGATATGGGGCTGTGGGGAGACACCCAGTCAGCACCTCAGGATCAGCCTTGAACTCCACGCCAAAGTCAACCTCACCCTGAAGGCCATGGCAGCTCACTAAACCAGACCCCTCCTTGCCTTTCCTCTATGTCAATTAATAAACGCAGGCAGACAAAGTCTCCTGGCAGAACCACGGGGAATTTCTCAAACTTCCAGGGCACCTTTCAGGCTGACCCAGAACCCTCACACATCAGAGGGAATCAGCTGTCTTTCCTCTAGATCACAGACTCAGGGCTGTAGACTAAGGGCCTTCTTCTCATGGGGAGCATTGCCCGACCTGCACCATGTCACCTGGACTCTCTTGCACGGTCTCTGCATGGGCCCCTCAGAACCCTTGAACATCTGAAGCCCTTGAGGTCAGGGGCATGTCTCATCACTCACAGAACTGGGATCCATGGCCTGTGTTCCACACACATCTGCAAAAGTGCTATGCCTGGCTTCTATAAATAACTTCTTTCCTCATCTGCAAGAGATGCCTGCTGCCCAGCTCTTGCTGGGGAGAGGAAACAGCCCATGTGTGTCCTCAGAAACCTGAGAACAGCTCCAGTGTCCTCAGCCAGCTTTCCTCTTAACACTGCGAATCCCCGAGGCACCATCTGTGACAACTGTATGAGCTCAACGAGAGTCAGTTTACACTGTTCAGATAGCATACCTGGTGGTGGGTGTGGAGGCAACGGCTGAGGTCCCAGAGGTTCATGCATGGGGTAGAGGTAGGGCATGCAGGGTGGTCCTAGAAAGGGAGGGGGGTCTTCTGGCAGCCATGTTGACCTGCAAAGAAGTTCAAGTTATGTTGATGCAACAGGGAAAACACCAACACCAACAAAAAACAAACCCAGTGAAGCAAGTGACAGTCCCTGGCCCCTTCCCTTCCACCAGTTCCTGCAACAGCCACAAAACTTCCCCAACAGCTTAGGGAGTGAAAAGAAGTCACAAAGATGAACTGGTGTTGCCACAGGCATGCTTACATGTAGACCTGCTTCTGTTCACATAGGAAAGGCTAGAGGCTGGTCCAGCGGATGAGCAAAGACAACGGTAGGCTAATAACGAGGCATTTTTCAGACACAGCGGCTTCTATGGCCAGGACCAGCCCCACTCCTCCCTCTTCACCACCGCAGAAGCTTGTAACTCAGAATGGAGGGAATGACAGCAAAGAAAAGCTCACTCACCTCACATGTGAGAACAGCTACTTGTGGGAGAACTTTCCCCAAATTCTTCATGTCCTGTGTCTGATTCTCAGAACTCTGCAAGCCAAGTATGACTTAAACATGACTAAGAATATCTGCTCTAAAAGAGCCAGCAGATGGTATGGTGGTTATAGCAATGCACTCCCACATGGCCAACAGTGGTTTGAATCCCAAACCTGGTGGCTTGCTTTCACACTTTCCCTCCCTGTCTCCCTCTGGTGATGAGAGCAAATTAAAATAATAATAATAATAAATTAATTTTTTTTCTTTTTTAGAGGTTTTGCTATAGAGCATATGCACCCGCCGAAAAGACAGAGAGACAGAAAGCGAGAAATCACCTCCCAGGGGGGATGACCACACCGCAATCCCTTCTCCTACATTCTCCTTGGGATCTTAGGCACGCATGCACACACGCCCAGAGTGAGTTTAAGCCACCAGGTCCCGGACTCAAACTGTGGTCGACTGCATGGGAGTCCAGACACACAGCCATTATGCTAACTGCTGGTCCCATAAATTAAATTTTTAAAAAAATTTGCTCTAAGTCCAAGGACACAGAGGCTTCCAGTGGAACTAGAAAACCTGCTCAGGGTCACACAGCTGACAGAAGGCAGGGCAGGAGTTTATACCAGCTACACCTGCAAGCCCCTTTGTACCCCTCTGCTCTTCCTTCTGGAAAAGGGTCTTCTGCTTGCTGGAAGTGCTCAGGTGACAACTCAGTTCTCAGCCTCTAAGTACTATGGCTTCTGGAAGTGCCACCAGATTACAAAGAGCTGAGAATGATTACAAGGCTCTTGGGGAAGATTTTGCTTTTTGAAAAGTCTTAAAGGCATTAGGCCAGCCCATGGCATCATGTTTAAGGCAGCTGGATTCCACATGTTCAAATGCATGGTGTGAATCCCAGATCCAGCTGCTTGAGATACATGCTGGGCACATGTGCATGCATGCCCCAAATCCCAAAAGCTAGGAGAAATGGAAAAAAGGAATTGCCTTACAGAGAATGCTTTTTCACTTCCCTTTTATCTCTGTCTCTCTCCAGCAAGCACACACACCCTCTGACAAATTAAAAACACACACACACACAAACATAAAAGTAAAGAAATAGTAAAGCTATCACAGAACACACACACCAGAGATGAGACCAGGAGAGGGAGCCGCATGGAAGGAGACGGAAATCCTTACAGGGAGAACGACCTCGGCATTTACTACTTCCTCTTCTGGGACCTCAGTAGAGATCCAGCCACCACTGTTCAAGGGAACTCCATGAGGTCCTGAATCTGTCAAGGCCAGAGAAGAGACTGGAGTTTGGTCTGATTTGTATATTCTGTGCAAAAGAATAACAAAGCCTCCATGCCTTCCTTTGCTCTTATCTTTTTTCCCACAGTCAGGTCCCCTAGCAGAGGTAGAGGGTTTACCAGATGCCTCAGATGACTCCTGAGAAAAAGGAGAAGTCCATGCCTTGACCTTGATGAAGACACCACAGAATCCTGGCTCAGGGGTTCTCATAATAAATCAACCAACAGTGGATACATCAGGGTTCAAACTAACTGGAAATCAACACTAAAACAGGGACTTCCCAAAAGTTTCTTTCCCTCAACCTCAGAAATCAAATTTAGGTCCAGATAAAAAGTGGAAATAGGGGCTAGCAGGTGGTGTAGTAGTTAAGATGCTGGATCTCACATGGCCGACTCTGCAGTCCAAGTCCTGGACACAGTGGCTTGAAAAATCATGCTGGGCATGTGTGCATGTGTGCCCAAAATCCCAAGAGGAGAACAGAGAAGGGATTGTGGTGTGGCCATCCCTCCTGAGTGGGGGGTGATTTCTCACTTTCTGTCTCTCTATCTCTCCAGTGAGCACATGTACCCTTTAGCAAAAAATCTCTCCCTAAAAAAAGAAAAAAATAAGGAAAAATAGAAAATAAATACTTGCAATCCTAAATTGAATCTTACAGTAAACTATCCACAAATCAAGACAATTTCTTTCTTTTTTCTTTTAATTTGCCAGAGGGTGTATGACTGGCAGGACAGACAGAGGGAGAGGGAGAGAGCAGCTGCCAATGGGGTACGATCATACCACAAAACCACCTCCTCTGTCCCTCCATCCTGTTGGGACTTGAGCACAGACACACATACACCCAGTATGTTTTCTGGGCTGCTGGGGCTAGGATTTGAACTGCACAGTCAGCCATGTAGGATCCAGCTCCTTTAACCAGTAGGCCATGGGGCCAGCCCTACATAATTTCTTATTTGATCAGGACCTAAAGATCTCATTCTAAAATGTCATTAATGTTGTTTTTTGGGGTTTTTTTTCAAATAAAAGAAAAAAATAAAGCCTTCACCACTGACTCAAGGTGGGATGGAGGAGCTGAATGATTTCCCTTCAGGGCACATCTTCTCAGTTGAGTTATCAAGTGGTGCCTCTGTGTGTGTGTGTGTGTGTGTGTCTGTGTGTGTGTGTGTGCTGATGGGGTGTCTATAGTGGGTTGAGAAGCCTGAGCTCCACCATTCACAGGGGCCCAAAGAGCCATCTGGCGGGGCACTGAAAGTGGACACAGTCCTGCACTCCCATGAGACCGATTCTCTTCGGCAAGTGCTTCAACAGAATATAAGGGTTACCCGAAGTGCGAAGCAGGGTGTGTTCTTTTGGCAGCAGAAGCCGAGCAGCCCCCTTTGCAGCATGCTCCTACCTCCCCAAGGAAGGCTGTCCCTGCCAGGTCCTCCCAGTGCTGGCATCTGCAGCCTGTATTCTTCCTGCAGCCTCTGACTTTGCATGGTCACCAATCTTGTAGAGAAAGAATGGACTTGGTAAGAAATAAGGCCATGCCCTGGGCCAGCGGATGGCGTGGTGACTGAGGTGCTGGACACTCCCACATGGCTGAACATGGTTTGGACCTGATGGCTTGCTTTCTCACTTTCCCTGTCTCTTTCTGGTCAAATTAAAAATAAATGAATGAATAAATAAAATTTAAATAAATAGTTCTTTAAAAACAAAACAAAACAAACAAACATGTCATCTATTAGACCTCAACAGCTTCATCTTAATACATCAAAAACACCCTTAAAAATTTCCACCATGGGACCAGTAGTTAGTGTGGTGGTTGAGGTACTAGGTTCCCACATGGCCCACTGCAGTTCAAGTCCTGGACCTGGTGACTTGAAATCATACTGGGCCCATGTGCATGTGTGCCCAAAATCCTGGAAGGAGAATCTAGAAGAAGGGATTTCATCCTTGTGGGATGATTTCTCACTTTCCCTCTCTGTTTCTCTCTGTCTCTCTTTGGTGAGTGTATGTGCACTATGGCAAACACCTTAAAAAAAAAAAAAAAAAAAAAGATATCCACCAGGCCAGTTGCTGTGGCACAGAGGTGACACAATGCTCCATGAGGCTGAAGCCACATAGGAAGGTCTCACATTGCAAAGTCTCCCTTGTACATGCCAAACACATGCACGAACACAACACACACACGAACACCCATGATCCTGGTTGGCTGAGGCTGGGGGTGGATCACAGCATGAGGGTCCTGCTGGGGGTGCCTGTCTCCCTATGTCTCTCTCTCTGAAGAAGTAAATGAACAAACTTTAAAAATAAATGTATATCCCAATCCCATACCTGTGCTTCAAGTAGGCGACCTCGCTAGTCTGTTCCACCATTGCCTTCTCCAAAGCACGAACCCTGAGCTGTGGGAGAAAACCACGTTTCCTTACAGTCATGACTGACTGTGCACAGAAGGAAAGAAAGAAAAAAATCTCACCTAGCTGTCATAAGCCTTTTTCTCATAAACCACCACCTGAAAAACCCAACGCATTAAACACAGTATGTTTAGGGTTCCTAAGGGCCACACGGTCATGTCTCAGGTGCTCGTGGGTTCTGCGTTGTTGGGCAGAACGCAGGTTACCTCGTGTATGAAGGCAGTCTCTTCTCTCTGCACTTGTCCTTGCATTTCTTCAATGATCTTCCTATGATTTAGAATTGTTTTCATCAGAAAGCACACTATTGAGTATGATTTTTTCTTTCTTTTTTTTTTCCCAGAGAGTTTTTTGCTGTAGGGCACATGCGCTCACAGAGACAGAGAGAGAAAAGAAAAGTGAGAAATCACTGCCCAGGATGGGATGACCATGCTGCAATCCCTTCTCCTTCATTATCCTCTCTGGATTTTGGGCACATACACCCTGAATGAGTTTTAAGTCAATGAGTCAAGCATTCCAACAGTAGTCAGCTATGTGGGAGTCCAATGCCTTAACCACTACGCCACCTGCTGGCCCCTTGGGTATGATTTTCAATAATTCCATGCTTGTTTTCTCACTTTTTTCCTCTCTTTGTCTGCCTCTGTCTCGCTCACTGGTGGTGAGTGCACTATAGCAAAATTTTAAAATAAATAAATAAAACTATTATTTTAAAAAAGCTTAAAAAACAAATAAATAAAAACAGAGTCTAAGCTATTGCTACATCATTTTCTTATTTATTATTTAATGCCACAATTTCCTTACTCATTCTCAGCATTTCCTAATTTATCCTCTTTTGAGTATCTCTTTTCATATAGCTCTACCTTCCTTTAACTTATGTCCTTACCACATTTCTTACGGCTGCAACAACCAAGTCTGAATATGGCACAATCACTTTTAGGGATGTAGTTTATCTTACATCAATCTTCTTTATGACCATTTTTACCACCCCTGGAAAAGTTTGCATGAGTTCAGTTTCCAACACAGTCTAGCCAGTGTTGGCAATCAGGAAATTTTTAGTGGTTTAATATTCTGGTTCATTTGTAAAACTTAATATAATTTTTCCTTTTCTTTTTTTTCTTTTTAAAAATATTTTGGAGAGGTTTATAGCTATAGGGCGCGTGCGCTCACCAGAAAGATAGAGAGAGAGACAAAAAGCGACAAATCATCCCCCACAGGGGATGGCCACGCCGCAATCCCTTCTCCTCCATTCTCCTCTCGGGATCTTTGGCGCGCACGCACACGCACCCTGCGTGAGTTTAAGCCACCGGGTCCGGGACGCGAACCGCAGTCGACTACATGGGAGTCCAGCAAGACAGCCATTACGCTAACTGCTGGTCCCAATATCATTTTTTCTTGTATGAATTCTCTGTATATATGTGTTCTGAACACTTATTTATATTAATGTTAGTTGGGTCTAAACATTATGCAAGGTTAAAAGCATGCCCCAAATCCCAAGAGGAGAGTGAATGAGAAGAGACTGCAGCGTAGCCATCCCCTCTGGGGAGTGATTTCTCATTGTCTCTCTGGCTAGTACACTCATCTGATGGCAAACACACACACACAGAAAAAAAAAAAAAGAGAGAGAGAGAGAGAGAGAAGAAAGAAAGAAAGAAAGAAAGAAAGAAAGAAAGAAAGAAAGAAAGAAAGAAAAAGAAAGAAAGAAAGAAGGAAAAGAAAAAATCCAGGGACCAGCAGGTGGCATGGTGATTTAAAACACTGCACTCCCACTTGGTTGAACATGGTTCAAGTCCTGGACCCAATGGCTTGAAAAATCACACTGGGTGTATGTGTGTGCAAATCCAAAATCCTGAGATGAGAATGGAAGAGAAGGGATTGCTGTATGGCCATCCCCCCGACAGGGGTGATTCCTCACTTTCTCTCTCTCTGTCTTTCTCTGTATCTCTCCAGCACATGTCCTATGGCAAGAAACCTAAACAAACAACAAAAGAAAAAGTCCAGCAGAAGTTTTATAAGACACTGGTGTTTGGTATTTGAACTCACTGGTAGTTTTGTATTTATTCAGTGGCCAACTTTACTTTCTCCTCTGCCATGGACAGCTCCTTCTCCCTCTCTACCTGCTTGCATTCTTCCACTATCAAGATGGGAAAGAAACACACATTAACCAGTAGCCCATCTGAAATTCTGCCCCCCCCTCTTTTTTAATTTACCTCCCAGCAGTCTGGGGGCCGTGATTAAGATGTCTTCTCCCACCTTTCATCATGTTAAGTTAAAAAGCAGGAGGCCATTGACCTGAACTGTCCCTGTCCTTTGAGTCCCAACATAACCAACCACAACCTAACTTAGTATACAAACAAACTAAAAGCCTAAGTAAGAGTATAACCAAACAAAAACAGCCAAGCTTCAGCCAATCACAGGCTGCCAACTGATCAGACCACATCTAAATAAGGCACATGCCTACCTGTAACTGATCACGCTATTTCTGTCCTTTATTTCCATTTCTGTATATAAATACTCACTGCCTGCATTACAGAGCAGAGCTCTCCGAACCTCTTCTGGTTCTGAGTTCCACCTCATTCGTGAGTCACTCTTTGCTCAAATAAATTGTGAACCGTAATTTATCTAAAGTTTTTCTGTTAATGTCCATAAAAGCAAGACAGACAAACACAATCAGAGGAAAGAACCGAAGCCTCCCGTGGAGGGACAAAGCAAAACCAAACTCTGGCCTGTGGGCAAGTCATAGGCAATTCTTTTTTTTTTTTTTATTTTTTTTATTTTTGAGAGAGATTTTCACTGTAGGGCGCGTGCGCTCGCCAGACAGACAGAGAGAGACATAGAGACAGAAAGCGAGAAATCACCCCCCAGGGGAGATGGTCACGCCGCAATGCCTTTTCCTCCATTCTCCTCTCGGGATCTTGGGCACGCACGCACATGCGCCCGGCGTGAGTTTTAAGCCACCGGGTCCGGGACACGAACCACAGTCGACTACGTGGGAGTCCAGCGACATAGCCATTACGCTAACTGCTGGCTCCAAAGTCATAGGCAATTCTGAGCCTCTGTCCACAGCTCTCTGCTTCTACTGAGTGAACAAAGTCAGCGAATACAAAAAGCATGCATGAGATGTGCTACGTGTCTCTCCTGGTGAGTCTCTTGTGCTGATTTGTTTGGGGGTAGCTCATTTTATTTCAATGTGGAAACCATACCTGGTCAACTCATCACAACTGAACACACCTGGAAGAAGCCAGGGATGATTCTTTGTCTGATGTCTCCCATTGAGGGGTCTGAGTTTAAGGCTGGTGTCATGACATAGTCAGCCACTTTGAGACCTTTACGACATGGCCCTGTTAACATGGCATAGTTAACCACATGTAGGACATGTCTACGGTTCCTATCACTACTTTAAAGGCCCTGTTTGAAGAGGGCCTTTAAATATCTGCTAAATTAAAAAAAAAAAAAGATCTGGGAGCCAGCAGATAGCATAGTGGTTAAGGTGCAGGACTCTAACATGCCTGAACATGGTTCAAGTCCTGGACCTAATGGTTCGAAAATCATGCTGGGCACATGTGTGTGCATGCCCAAAATCCCAAGAGGAAAAGGGACTGTGGCATGGCCGGCAGCCCTGGGGGGATTTCACACTTTCCCTCTCTCTGTCTCTTTCTGAGTGCATGTGCCCTATGGCAAAAATCTAAAAAAAAAGATCTGAACTGCAACATAGTTAAGCTGTTATCTCCTAGAAAAGCATTTTGGCTAGAAACCTTTCAAATTTGGATTACCAATAGATATAACAGCATGGACTTTATTGAAAGCAACAGTAGAAAGGGGCAAAAATAGGAAAACACTGATTTGCTATATTGCCTTTGAACTATACAGTTTATGGTTCTGATTTTTATAATTTTGATGTTTGAGGGACCAGCAGTTAGTGTAATGGCTATGTCACTGACCTCCCATGTAGTTGACCACGGTTCAAGTCCTAGACCCGGTGGCTTAAACTCATGCCAGGCGTGTGTGTGTGTGCCCAAGATCCCGAGAGGAGAACAGAGGAGAAGGGATTGCAGCATGGCCATCCCTCCGGGGGTGATTTCTCACTTTCTGTCTCTCTGTCTCTCTCTGGTGAGTGCATGCACCCTATAGCAAAAACCTCTCAAAAAAATGTTTGATGCTTGATTTTTTCTATGAATCACATATTAAATTAAAAGAGCTCTAGGAAACAGGGACAAAAACATTAAAGAGAACACAGTCAGGCATTCCTTTCTGGCTGCCTAACCAATCCTCCTGAAAATGCTTTGTGCTGTGGCTTTTAGGCAGTCTTTTTTTTTTTTTTTGGAGAGGTTTCTTTGCTATAGGGCATGTGCACTCACCAGACAGACAGAGAGAGACATAGAGACAGAAAGCGAGAAATCACCCCCCAGAGGGTATGGTCACGCTGCAATCCCTTCTCCTCCATTCTCCCTCCGTGTCCTGGGCCCCTCACACACACGCGCCGGGCGTGAGTTTTAAGCCACCGGGTCCGGGACGCAAACCGCGGTCGACTACATGGGAGTCCAGCGACATAGCCATTACGCTAACTGCTGGTTCCCGAGAGGTTTTTGCTATAGGACACATGCACTCACTAGAAAGACAGCGAGAGACAGAGAGACAGAAAGCAAGAAATCACCCCCCAAGGGAATGGCCATGCCATTCTCTCAGAATCGTGGACACACACACACACATGCCTGGCGTGAGATCAAGCCACCAGGTCCGGGACTCGAACCATGGTCAACTACATGGGAGCCCAGCAACATAGCCATTAAGCCAACTGCTGGTCCCAGGCAGTGGTGTCTTAAAGATCCAAAGGGAGCATGATCCAATCCCTTAATGAACTTGCAGAATAAAACAAGAAGCCAGTGAGAACATAGCAAACTCTGCCTCAGCCTTGGGAAGAAATAACATAAAATTGAGTCTTGAGGGACAATGAGGAAGAGCTTTAGAACCTGGGTGAGTGGGTCTCAAGTCCCTCATCTCCCAGGGAACAGAAGGAAACACTGGACAAAATAGGAAACACACAATTGATAGCGTCACTTGTTTACAAACCAGTAAAGAAAACATGAGGCCAAAATGGAATGGGAAGAAAGCTAGGACTAAGGTCAGCCGGATATTCTGAACTAATTTCCTCTAGTTTCAATTAATTCCAGTCACGACTACTGAGAGGCAAAGACACTGAACAACTTTGCACATATGTGTACTTTTGGGGAAAAAAACTGGTGGGGGGGCAGCAAGTAGCACAGTAGTTAAGGTGCTGGACTCCCATGTGGCTGACCATGGTTCGAGTCCTGTACCTAGCAGCTTGCTTTCTCATTTTCTCTCTCTCTTGCATGTGCCCTATAGCAAATTAAAAAATAATAACAACGGGACCAGCAGTTAGCATAATGGCTATGTCGCTGGACTCCCACGTAGTCAACCACGGTTCGCGTCCCGGACCCGATGGCTTAAAACACGCCAGGTGCGTGTGCGTGCGTGCCCAAGATCCCGAGAGAAGAATGGAGGAGAAGGGATTGTGGCGTGGCCATCCCCCCTGGGGGGTGACTTCTCGCTTTCTGTCTCTCTGTCTCTCTTGTCTGTCTGGCAAGCGCCCTACAGCAAAAACCTCTTTAAAAAGAAAAAAAAAGAAAAATAATAACAACAATATATAAAATCAAATAAATAATTCTAAAAAAAAAAAAATGGTGGCATTAGGAACTGCCCTGAAGGTGACCCCTAGTGAAACTCATAGCCTTCTGTTGAGACCCAGAAGAGTTCCACACAAGGGAGAAAGGAGGACAGGAAATACGCTGGCCTTTGTAAGGGCTGAGTCCCTACTGAATGATTGCAACTGGTGACTGGATTAAGGGGACCCAGTACTGCTCATGGCTTGATCACATGCCAGAGGTAAAAACGCTCATCCTTGTGTAGTAAGATGACATCACACTATGCCTCCATGTTTCTGTAAATATCTTCCCCTGAGGTATGGTGCTTAAAACTGACTAAACATACGGCAGGACAGGCTGTGTGCTGGGACTGAAACCTAAAGAGCAATAGAACTGGACCCAGACATGGTCTAGATACAGAAATTAGCAATGCTAGTGTCAGTATCTCTGCTAACCTCAAATAAGTTACATGCAAGGGTGTATGACAACCAGATAGGAGAGAAATCAAGGCAAGAATGATAAGCAGAATTCTGTATGCACTGAATTTGGCACAAATATTATAAAAATTATTCTAAAAGAATATATGATTGTTGGAGCCAGCCAGTGGTGTAGTGGTTAAGGTGGCTAGATACCATATGACTGACTGTGTGGTTTGAGTCTCCAGCCCAACAGCTTGCAAAACATGCCAGGTGTATGTGTATGACTGAAATCCCAAGATTAAAATGGAGAGGGGATGGCAGTGTAGTCATCTCTCCCAAGGGTGCTTTCTCACTCTCTCTCCCTCCCGCTCTCTGGTGAGTGCATGTGTGTGCTGATTAACACAATTTTTTAAAAAGAAAATTACAATTATCTGAGATGCTCAACAGGTACTCATACGACAGGTATCAATGAACACAGAACCATCTCACTCCTCTGCAGCCTTCTTTTCTTCTTCAAGGAGTTCAACTGTTTATTTTCATCTTCGGCGTTCTAAATTCAGCACCCTTTGCTTCATTCACAGACCTTACTGCATCCCGACTGTCTGCTGGTTTCTTTCTCCTTGCTGTAAAGAATAAAACAATTTTCTTTGTGTGTGTACAGGGACGTGAGGCCTTGGTTGGGTGGGGAGAGAAGGGTGAGCATCCTGAAGGCAGGAAGCCAATGTAAACTCATTCCCCAACACACGACATGCCTTCTGGGCTATACTTACTGCACCTCGAGGCTCTCAGGTTTGAATCCTCGTATCCATCATTTACCTCTTGTGACTTTAGATAAATATGAGATCAGACATCCAAGAGCAATGATGGCACAACGCTGTGACTTTATCAAACACTGCTGAACTGCATACCCGAAATGTTGAAGATGGTCGGCTTTCTGTGTGCTTTGCCACATTTTACAATGTAAGGAAGATAGCAATGACACTCGGTTCTCTGATTTGGACAGTCAGTGGAAGGAACTTTGGCTCCCTGCTCCTGTCTCACCTCCAGTCCCGCATTCTCCTTCGGCACAGGCCCTTCCTCACAAGTTGTCCCTTCTGTCTCACTGATGTGAGCTTCATTCCAGGCAATTTCCTTTTTTTTTTTTAAAGGGATTTTTGCTATAGGGCATGTGTGCTCCCTGGAGAGACAGAGAGATATAGAGAGACGGGAGCAAAAAATAACCCCCCCCCCCCAGGGGGATGGCCATGCTGCAATCCCTTCTCCTCCATTCTCCTCTTGAGATTTTGGACATGCACGCACACGCCCCCAGCGTGAGCTTCAAGCCGCTGGGGGGACCCAAACCACAAATGACTAGGGGGGGAGTCTAGTGACATAATCATTATGCCATCTGCTGGTCTCCTGGCTTTTCCTTTAAAAAAAAAATTATTTATTTAATTTTGTTTGTTATTATTCTTTTCTAATTTGACCAGAAAGAGAGAAAGAAAGGGAAAGTGAGAAAGCAAGCCACTAGGCCCAGGACTAGAACGGCAGTCAGCCATATGGAAGTCTAGCACCTCAACCACCATGCCACCTGCCAGGCCCCTCTCCCCCAACTTTTCTTAATAAAAGATAAATATTGGGACCAGCGGATAATGTAGTGGTTATGTCACTGGAGTCCCATATTGCTGACCACCATTTGAGTCTCTGACCCAATGGTTTGAAACTGACCCCGAGCATGCCCAAAATCCCAGAAGGAGAATGGAGAAGGGATTGTAGCATGGCCATCCCCACCCCCCCCCCAGGGGGTAGTGATTTCTCACTTTCTCTCTTGCTATCTCTGTCTCTCTCTAGCAAGCACATGAGCCCTAAGGCAAAAAAATCTCTAAAAAAGATAAATATCAATGCCAGATTCATTTAGAAAATTCCATGTTCTACAGTAAGGACAGGACTTTTTTCTTTTTTTTTTCTTTTTGGAGAGGTTTTTGCTATAGGGTGTGTGAGCTCACCAGACAGACAGAGAAAGACAGAGAGACAGAAAGCGATAAATCACCCCCCAGGGGCGATGGCCACGCCGCAATCCCTTCTCCTCCGTTCTCCTCTCAGGATCTTGGGCACACACGCACAGGCACCCGGTGTGAGTTTAAGCCACCGGGTCCGGCACTTGAACCACGGTCGACTACATGGGAGTCCAGCAACATAGCCATTACGCCAACGTAATGCTGCTGGCCCCCAAGGACAGAACTTTAACTCAGCTAGAAGGCTTGTGTTCTTACTCCTTACTTGTTTCTCAGTCCTCCTACCTCTCCTGAAGGGCAGTGCTGAATGCTGTGAAAATTACCTAGGCTCATAAAGGAAAACAAACATACTCGCAGGTCCTTAAACAGAAAAGGCTATTGTTGTTAGTACTTGAAATATAAGATCAAGTCAGCAATGGTGTGGGTTGAGGCTGGATTCTGCATGGCTAACCATGCAATTCGAGTCCTGGACCTGGTGACTTGAAAAACAAGCTGTGCACAGGTGTGTACACCCAAAATCCCAAGAGGAGAGAGGAAAAGGGACTGCAATGTGGCCATCCCCCTAGGGGATTACTTTTTCATTTTCTCTCTATCTCTGTCTATTTTTCTCTGGAGAGTGCTCATGCCCTATAACTAAAAAAAGAAATACAAGATTACTTAATATTTATTTTTCTTATTCATGATAAAGGATGTGAGAGCACAAAAGAATAGGAAGAGAGAACCACCCTCTAAGAATCACCTTCTTCCATTCTCTGGCTAGTCAAATCCTGGGTACTCATGCACATGCCCAACAAATTTCAGCTGACCAGATCAAGGATTCAAACCACAGTCGCCATGTGGGATCCAGCTTCTCTCTCTCTCTCTCTCTCTCTCTCTTTTTTTTTTTGGAGAGGTTTTTGCTATAGGGCACATGCGCTCACCAGACAGACAGAGAGAGACAGAGAGACAGAAAACGAGAAATCACTCCCTAGGGAGGATGGCTGACTAATCCCTTCTCCTCCGTTCTCTGCCTGGTGTGATTTTCAAGCTGCCAGGTCCAGAATTCAAACAGCATTTGGCCGTGTGAGAATCCAGTGATTTAACCAATACACGACCCGTGGGCCCCAGCAAGTTGTTCACTTTAAATAATTGCTGCCTGTTAAACACTACTTAAACTCAATCAAGCTGCAGGGGGAAAACCAGATTTTTTAGAATTTAGCATTTGTTTGTTTTGTGAAGGACGTATGTGCTGGCCAGAGAAAGAGAGACAGAAAAGGAGAGGAAAACACCCCCCATGGGGAATGCTTATGCCACAATCCCTTTGCCTCCATTTCTCCCTCCTTTTGAGCTTTTTTTTTTTTTTTTTGGAGAGGTTTTCGCTATAGGGCGCGTGCGTGCGCTCGCCAGACAGACAGAGAGACATAGAGACAGAAAGCGAGAAATCACCCCCCAGAGGGGATGGTCACGCCGCAATGCCTTCTCCTCCATTCTCCTCTCGGGATCCTGGGCACACACGCACACGCGCCCAGCGTGAGTTTTAAGCCACCGGGTCCGGGACGCAAACCGCGGTCAACTACGTGGGAGTCCAGCGACATAGCCATTACGCTAACTGCTGGTTCCCTCCTTTTGAGCTTTTGAGCACACTTGCACACACACATGCCCAGCATTTCTCAGGCTGACGGATCAGAGGCTCTAACCATAGGATTGGTCCTATGGGATCCAGCCACCTTAACCATCAGGCCATGGAACTGGCGCTAGAGTTGGTGTTTTTTTGTTTTTGTTTTTGTTTTTACATAAATACATATTTATATTTTTATAACTATAGTTAATAATTCAATTTTTGAGTCTATAAGCTAATTTATAACTGAGAAATAAATAAAATACCCAGTTACACTGAATAAGAAGTCTAGCTTTTCTTTTGAGTATTCCTGATTTCCCTGCATAAAAGCTTCTGGAAAACATCCAAAAGAACATGCAACCTGTATGAAAAAATAAAGAAAAAATAGCAATGAAAATTTTGTTTTAAATAAGTGAGAGGAAGAAAGACAAATAGGTATATTGATAGATATGGGCAGAACTAATAGATAAGCAGCTGCTATTGTTATACTGAAATTATTATTTCAATAAAATTAAGTATAGAATATTCTTAAGCCCAAATTGCTAAATTGGTTATTTTGCTTTCAACCTGTATTTTCATTCTGACTCAGAGGACATAATGTTGTATTTCTGGAGTGGAAAAAGATTTATATATACTATGTGATTTAAACTATGAGAATTGAAGTTAGTTCAAAATACAATTCCAGGGTCTAGACGATGTCACAGCAGTGAAATGGGATTCCCTAAAAAGCTGACCCACAGTGGAAGGACTCTGGTTTCCATCTGAAGAGGGCTGTGCCCATGATCCAGAGCTGAAAAAGTCTGGAAATGAATTGCAAGGTCAAGATCCTGTTAGAGTTGCTGCTCTCTCTGTCCCGCTCTCTCGGTCTCTTTCCCATGGAAAGAAAAAACAAAAAACACAATTCTACATAGCTGCTTGCAAGAATTCACCTTCAGGCACCAGCAGGTTGTATGGTGGTTAAGGCACTAGAGTCCCACGTGGCCGACAGTGGTTAGAGTCCTGGACTCAGCGGCTTAAAAATCATGCTGGCAGGGCCTACAGGTGGCATGGTGGTTAAAGGCACTGGACTCCCTCATAGATGATCGCGGTTTGAGTCCCAGACCTGGTGGCTTGCTTTCTCACTTTTTCTCTTGCTCTGTCACTATGTCTCTCTCTGGTCAGATTAAAAAATAATAATAAAATTAAAAATAAATAAAGTTAAATAAAGTAATTCTTTAAAAAGAAAGAAAGAAAATCACACTGGGTACGTGTGCGTGCATGCTCAAAATTCTAGGAGGAGAATGAAGGATAAGGGACTGCATTGTGGCCATCACCCCAGAAGGTGATTTCTCACTTTCTCTCTCACTGTCTCTCTCTCCAGTGAGCACATGCCCCAGATGGCAAAACCACACCCCCCCAAAAAATGAGGGGCTATTTGCAGAGCTTAAAGCAGAACCTTGCTTCGGGCTTTTAGAAGCAGCCCACAACTCCGATTAAATGAGTCCCTTCCATTTTGAAAAACAGCTGGACTGAAATGTCATCTATATGCAATTCCCTGGTTTATGGTGCCCGGTTCAGTGGCTTTTGGCATATTCCCAGTCCTTCATTTTTGAGGGTACCATACTCCCGTTCAGGTTCTCATCCTTTCCACCCTCCGTTTGGAACAAACAGGGCTGGCAGGACGCGGTCTGTGATGCGGACAGTTGTGGCCAGATCCCGCTGAGGCTGACCAGAAACCGACACTGGGAGCGCTGGCCTGCAGGGAGGACCGAGTTCCCATAGAAGACCCCGTGAGAAACTTAATTAAAGCGGAGTGTGAGACAGCCCAGGACGAAGGTGAAACCTGGGACACCCAAGCGGGAGGACACAGAAGAGCAGCCTCTGCACCCGTATGTTGAGACTGGGAGGTAGGTGAGCAGGGTCAGGGGATTGAGGGGAGGACTGTGTGACTAGGGGGGGGGGGCAGGGAGGAGGCGGAGCAGTCATTATGGATGACTTCTTTGGATTCTTCTCCTGTTTGGTCACTGCCCTAGCAACAGCCTTCTTCATATTCTCCGGACGCCCGATTCTTAGAATGCCCCCCTTCCGCACTGATTCCCAGCACTGGTCCTTTCTGGAACCTTCTCCGTAATGGTCTTTCTCAACTCAACTTCCTCCTTTCCTCAGCACCTGAGATTTCTCAAGGTCAGTTTTGGCTGCAGAACATGTAAAGCAAATGATGGCGGCAGAACTGTGAGAAAAATCCATGCCTACGCGCAGTTGGAGAGCAGCATCCCCATGGTCAGTGACGCCGGTGATAAGCAGACAGAACACCAGTAAGGGGGTAGCAGGTTTGAACTGCAAACCACCTTAACCTTGCAGGTAGAGATCACTACTCGAAACACACGATTTTCATGCACTTTTACAAAACATGCACTTTTACAAAAATTAACTGACTCCAAATGCTTCACTAGCCAGCTGCTGCAGCCGGGCCTCCCTCACTCTCAAATGCCAGAGCTTCCTCTAGTTCCAGAGCTCTGGCCGAAGGACAAGGGCAGAAGTGAGGCGGTCTCCATCCGCCCGCTGGTCCCAGCAGACAGCCCGCGCACACCCCAGCAAAGAAAAGCACCGACGAAGCCCAGAGCGGGAGTGCGCCCTCTACTGGTGGACTGGAGAAACCTGTGACCTTCTGCAGGTTGAACCTTAGGGCCATGGATAGGGGTCCACCGAACTTCTTCCTTTTTTTTTTTTTTTTCTTTAAATTTATTTTATACATTCAATCACTATACATCACTTAGCTTGTAAAATGAGTTTACTCAACATGAATACACTTTACACCAATCCAGTTGACGATACTATACACATTATCATCAACAGATAATAATCCATTTCTGTGTCCCATAAATTTCTTGCCTCTCTATTTTTCTATTTCTTTCTTCATACTCCCACTTCTCCCACCGACCGACTTCCCACACTATCTTCAGTATCCCTAACCATTTTCCCTGCTTCTGTGTCCTCTAATCTTTCGGTTTCTGCCATAAAGTGTGGACATTCAGTATATGATCTTTGAGGAATCTCCACTATTGTTCTGCACAGTGGTTGGACTAATTTACACTCCCACCAACAGGGTAGGAGAGCTCTCCTTTCACCACAGGCCTGCTGGCACTTACCTTTTTTTTTTAATCTTAGTTATTCCGACTGGGGTTAGGTGGTATCTCATTGTGGTTTTGGTCTGCATCTCCCTTATGATGAGGGACGTTTAACATTTTTTCTCATGCTTTTTGGTTGTTCGTACATCTTCCCTAGAGAGTTATTTTGTTCAGCTCATTTTCCCATCTTTTAATTGGGTTGATCTTTTTTTTTTTTTTTTTTTTTTTTTGTAAGCCCTTTGCTTGGGTTCCCTGTGTATTCTGGTTATCAGTCCCTTATTTGGGGCATAGTATACAAAAATATTATCCCATTTTGAGGGTTGTCAACTCACACTAATTACTGTATCTTTCGCTGTGCAGAAACTTCTTAATCTGATGTAATCTCATTTGTCTATTTCGGGGCTTATTGCCTGTGCTTTGGGAGTCTTATTTAAGAAGTCTTTGCCTACCTCAATGTCTCCCAGAGTTTCCCCAGTGTTTTCCACCAGTAGTTTTACAGTTTGTGGTCTTAGGTTTAGATCTTTGATCCACTTTGCGTTGATTTTTGTTAATGGTGACAGATAGGGATCTAGGTTCATCTTTCTGCAGGTGGATACCCAGTTTTTCCAGCATCATTTACTAAAGAGGTTTTCCTTTTCCCACGGGATTGATTGATACCCTTTGTCAAAACTCAACTGGCTGTATGTTTTGAGATTTATGTCTGGGGTGTTTATTCTGTTCCATTGGTCCACATGTCTGCTTTTGTGCCAGTACCATGTTGGGTTTTTTTAAGAATTATTTTTTATTTAATTTTATTCATTGTCATTATTTTATTTTTTATTTTTTGACATTGGCTAGAGAGAGAGAGAGAGAGAAGGAAAGTGAGAAAGCAAGCTACCAGGTCTGGACTTGAATGGCAGTCTGCCATATGGAAGTCCAGCCACCTTAACCACCATGCTACATGCCAGCCCAGTACCATGCTGTTTTGATTATCACAGTTTTATAAAATATTTTGGGGTCAGGGAGTGAGATGCATCTTACTCCACTCTTCTTGCACAGGATGGCTTTGGCAATACGAGGTCTTTTATGATTCCAGACAAATTCTATGATGGCCTTTTCTAAATCTGTGAAGAATGTCTCTGGTAATTTGATTGGGATTGAGTTAAAAATGTAGATGAATTTTTTGGGTAGAATTGCCTTTTTGATTATATCAATTCTTCCATTCCAGAAGCATGGGCTGTCCTTCCATGTTTTAGTGTCATTTTCAATTTCTTTTTTTTAGGTTTTCATAGTTTTCCTTGCAGAGGTCTCTGACTTATTTGGATGGATTTATTCCTAGGTATCTTATACTTTTGTAACTATGGTAAATGAATTTACCTCAATCTGCTGGTTGTTCATATATAGAAATGCTATAGGTTTTTTGTATATTTATTTTGTATCCTGCTACTTAATTGAATTCATTTATTACTTTCTGAAGTTTTTGTTTCATGGATACCTTTGGGTCTTCTATGTATATAATCAAGTTATATACAAGTAGAGATTATTTCATCTCTTTCCAAAAAAATCCCTATTTGAATGCCTTTTCTTTTATTCTCTCCTGATTTCATTAGGTAGGACTTCCAGCACTACATTGAAAAGGAGTGGGGAAAGTAGGCAGACTTGTCTTGTACCAGTTTTTAGTGGAAAAGCTTTTAGCCTTTCCCTATATGGCATGATGTTAACTATGTGTTTTTCATAAATCGCTTTTATGGTGTTGAGAAATAACCCCTCTATGCTGATTTTGCTGAGTCTTAATCATGAAGGGATGTTGTATTTTATCAAATAATTTGTCTATATCACTTGATATGACCATATGGTTTTTATCTTTCTGTTAACATGGTGTATTACATTTATGGTTTAGCATATGCTGAACCACGCTTGCATCCCTGGAATAAATCCTACCTGTCGTGATGTATAATGTTTTACATGTCATTGGATACGATTTGCTAGTATCTTGCTGAGAATTTTTGCATCTATATTCATCAGAGATATTGGTCTGTAGTTTTTCTTCCTTGTCATATCCTTGTCTGTTTGGGGGATGAAGGTGATGGAGGCTTCATAAAATGAATTGGAGAGGGTTCCTTCCTCTTGGATAACTTGAGTAGAATTGGGTTAACTCTTTTTTTAAAGTTTTGTAGAATTCAGAAGTGAAGCCATCAGAACATGGGCTTTTCTTTGTTGCAAGATTATTTATTACTGATCCAATCTTGTTGCTTGTTATGGGTCTATTCAGGTTTTCTGTGTCCTCCTGGTTCAATTTTGTTAGATTATGTGTGTCCAGGAATTTGTCCATCTCATCCAGGTTTTCTTGTTTGTTAGTGTATAGTCGCTCATGTATCCTCTAATGATGTTTTGTATTTCTATTATGTCTGTTGTAACATTGCCTATTTTGTTGCGAATTTAATTTATCTCATTCCTTTGTCTCTTCTTAATTAGTCTAGCTAATGGTGTGTCAATCTTGTTTATCTTTTCAAAGAACCGGCTTTAGCTTTTATTTATTTTATGTAAAGTTCATTTATTTTCTATTTCATTTATTTCTGCTCAAATCTTTATTATTTATTTCTCTTGGCATTTTTTGTTGTTTTTCCAGTTCTCTTAGGCATAATGTTAGGTTGCCATCATTCCATCTTTTTCTTATATGCACTAATTGCTATGAATTTCCTTCTTATGGCTGCTTTTGCTATGTCCCATAGATTATGGAAACTCATGTACTCATTATCATTAGTTTCCATGAATCTTTTTATTTCAGTCTTAATTTCTTCAGTAGTTGTGAAGTCATTCACAAGTAGTTTATTTAGTTTCCATATAATTGTGTATTTTCATTTTTTTTCTGAAATTAATGTCAAATTTAATTCCATCATGGACGGAGAAGATGCTGGACATAGTTTCTATGCCTTTGAATCTGTAAAGGCTTGCTTTGTGCCCTATCATGTGCACAGTCTTCCAAAAGGTTCCATGTAGAAGTGAGAAGAATGTATATTTTGCGGTTTTTGGGTGGAAGATTCTATAGATGTCTGTCAAGTACATTTGATTTGTGGTATCACTTAGATCCTGTATCTATTTTTTTTAGATGATCAATCCAAAGGAGATAATGGGATGTTGAGATCCCCAACAATTAATGTGTTGCAGTCTATCTTTCCTTTTAGATCTAGCAGTCTTTCCTTCACAAATTTGGGTGTTCCAGAGTTGGGTGCATAGATATTTTTAAGCATTATATCTTCTTGATGAATTAGCCCTTTTACTACTATACAATGCCCTTCTTTGCCTCTTCTTACAATTTTTGTCTGAAAGCCTATTTTGTTTGAAATCAGTATCGTGACTCCAGCTCTTTTTATGGTTTCTGTTTGTATAGAATACTTTTTTCCAGCCCTTCACTTTTAGTCTATGTATATCTTTATCCATAAGGTGCATTTCTTGTAGGCAACAAATAGAGGGTTTCTGTTTCTTGATCTATTCAGACAATCTGTGTCTTTTGATTGGATAATTTAATCTATTAACATTCAACATTATTATCGATATTTCCAGACTTATCCCCATCATTAAGTTGGTCATCTTCTTTGTTGTTTTTTGTTCTCTTATTTCTTCCTGTTTCTTTAGTTTTCCTGGTATAGTACTCCCTTCAGAATTTCTTGAAGAACTGGTCTGGTGTTGGTAGATTCTTTCAGGTTTTTTTATCTGAGAATGTTTTTATACTTTTTTTCCCATTTGAAGGATAATCTTGCTGGGTATAGTAATCTTGGTTGAAATTGTTTCTCTCTTAACACTTTCAGTATATCTCCCCATTCTTTCTTCACTTGCATTGTTTCCAGTGAAAGGTCAGATGTTAGCCTGATGGGATAACCTTTGTAAGTAACATGACCTTCCTCTCTTGCCAATTTTAGTATCTTGTCTTTATCTGTCGTTCTGGCCAGTCTAGCTATGATGTGCCATGGAGAGCATCTTCTTGGGTTGATTCTATTTACGGTCTTTTGTATTTTGGGGGTCTGGATGTTTGAGTGCTTCTCTAGACTTGGAAAGTTTTCTTCCAGGATTTCATGGAATAGATTATCAATGCCCTTACTAGTTTCTTCATCCAATTATTTGGATATTTGGGCATTTAATGGTATCTAGAATTTCTTGTATATTGTCCTCATT